CTCCATCCAGTATTCTTTGTTTTGCAACGGAGCTCCGCGGACAAACGAGTGAAATCGCTTTTGTTCGCGACGCCTGTGGGAAGCACTCTCGGTTTCGCTCGCTGCGACGACGCCGTCGGTCCTCCTTTCCTCGATGACCTCTGCACATCGGAAATAATGTTGATCTTTAACCGGTTAACTGTGGAATTTCGTTGGAGAAACCTCTCGGTCTAGATAATAAAATAAAAAATGGAGCGTGTACTCGTCGAAGGGACGAATGCGCGTAGAGTATATTTTAATGAAAGATCAAAGCGAAAAAAAGAAGAATTAGATGTTTATGCGAAAAAATAAAGAATTCATCGCTGAAAGAATTAGTATATGTCAAGCTTTACGATGACGTGTATACTCGTCAAACACAGTTAACTGGTTAACACGTGAACACGTCGACCAATGGTACTGGAATTGGTTACTGATAGTTCGATACCATAGTTCCCGTGGTATTATTTAGTTACTTGTGTCATTGAATATTTCAATTCGACATCAGTTTCCTTCGTATGTCCTCAAACATTTTAGTAACTCCGGTGGCGATCAATATGTTAATGTATCGTCCCTGGCCGTCCAATGCTGGTGAATGTACCTGCAAATGACGGCAACGACTGTTCTGTATTCTTAGTATTACAAATAAAAGAATATTTTATTCTGAAAGTGTGAAACCTTGATGGAACACCCCAGGAATCGAATAATTGACAAAAAGGAATTTTTGTTCTCCATTGCCGATTTCAAAGTGAACGTCAACGCGTTATCCGGTTCGGCGGTACGTTTGGCAAGTAGGTGAAGGTTCTGAAATTAAAGGCAAACAAGTTGGACGATCGATTTTCCGTCGTGGAAACGGGAACAGAAGGGAAACACGAAAATCGAGTAGAACAGAGGAGAAGTCATCGCCGTCGCGGGAACCGGTCGATCGGCGATGACCTACGTCAACAAGAAAAATACCATCGGACCACTCCTTTTCCACGCGGATTCCGAATAATTTCCTTTCCCATACGCAACAGCGACGTTTCCTCGAAACCGGCGGCCATTCAAAATCACGCCGGAGAGCCTCGATATTTTACTGACCGATGCGTTACGGCGCTCCATGTGGGCAGCCCGAATGTACTCGCGGCCGTCCCACGCGGCAGCAGTCGCGCCTCGCGCCAAATCCAGCGCCGATATCTTCCTTTTCGACGCAGAAAAAGAAATGAAAGCCGGGACTAAGTAAAATTCCGTCGACAACCGGCGAGCGTTACGTCCCGCGGATATTTCTACCGCTTATCCCTTCTGGATGTCGCGTCGGTCTTAAAGCTTCCACGGCGAACAGAATATTTTCTTCGGACTACCCGCTTGCAACCTAGAAAGCACGAATATTAAACCTTTGCACTCGAGTGGCTCTCACTAGCCACCTGATTTTGATAAAATTTGGTATTTAATATTTACTTTATACGACGCATCAATCTGAAAAATATTAATCGTAACAATACAAAGCTATCGGTGACAAAATGCAAAAGACATGCTTCGCTATTACCGAGTTTAGTATCTTGAAAGAAAATTTACACTTACAGTGGAATACACTTTGTTATCCTTCCAAATTGTCGGTAAAACGTGACGCAAGCACTATCGTGTTGACTTCAATTCCTGCAATTATACATTGTAACACTAATTTTTAAGCTACAACTTTCATGATCTATATAAATAAACACGTGTTCTAGAACCAACAGAACAAACTATAGAATAAACATCTATAAATCTAGTATTAACATTTCAACCCCTAATCCAGTGAATATTTCAACTGCTTACATGTTCATTTCAGTAACAAATACCTCAAAAGCAGTAGCTCAAAAAACAAAGAGCATGTACTCTAACCATAATCGTGTTAATTACAAACGTCCCCGTACCATAGCCAACCGAGCATTAAGGGTGGCCATAAAATCCAGGGAAGAAATCGCAGACGGAAATTCACCGTCTCCCCGAATATCTTCGTCGCAACGAATATCTTCACTTTCAGCCGGTCGCGCGCGGTAAATCCCGAACGACCGGTGACATTCGAAATTCGCAGAACCCGTGGTACAGCGATGAGTCTATTAACGGGGACATAAAAGTACTCGCACCGATACGAGCGCACGATCCGTTCGACCGGCGTCGTTCCGCGGTTCGGAATGAATTTCATTTTCCTCCGGGAATCGCGCGCGCCCGACCCGCGAAAAGAATGCGCCACGCGAGATTCCCACAGATCATCGCCGTTAACGAACCCTGCCCCGGCTCGGCTCTTTATCGAGTTATGCCCGGCATTAAACTGGCTCGTCCTCTAATTAAATATCTCGCGGTTTCCCTGGCTCGAACGTGGCCTGCGTCGATTTCCATTCGGGATTGCCCGGAGTCCGCGGGCTCAGCGAAGCGGAGCGGAGCGGCGTCCACCCAGTCGCGGGATCCTCGGCTAGATTAGGACGTTAGGCGGTCGCCTCGCGGGTTCCGAGGACGCTCGTTTTCAGGATACTCGCCGGAGATGGGCTGGAACAGGAATAGCAAGGATGACGTAAGCTCCCAATCCGCAGCGCAGGTATACGCGCGCGCGCGCGACCGCGGCCG